TGGGAACAGAGTATAAACTCAGAAAGTCTTTGACAGTGTGTGCATGGGCGACTTTTTTGTCCGAATACGACGTGTTATGATGCATTTATTAAATTATAACGTTTCCTTTAATTAATTGCCTCCGGCATCGGCTTTAGTTACCGACCGCCTGGTCATCTTGTTGCGCTCTGCCTATATGTAGTTCACTTCATTTCCAACGCAAAGTTCGATTAGTTGCTTTCTCAAATCTCAATGCAAGGTTTAGATATGAAGATGGACATATCTAAATATATTGTAGGGTTTGTTGAAGAATATATTTCCCACAGAACAATATATGTAGCCTATCGCATATTTTTAGGTGTATATACCAACTGGACATATATTACCTTATGCCTTATATTCCATATATAAAGTTTAATGTGTTATCAAGTCTATAAGGGTTCAATAACAATGCATGCAAGCGTATTTGACGTTGCAAATGCAAAACAAATAAATGCAGTGAAGTGCTGAATAAGCATCGACACTTAACCACAACTCCAAGCGTAAGCTACCTATATTATAGAAAGAAGCAAATTGTAAGGAAATTTTTTTCTTTTTTGTCTAGATAAGATAGAAACTTTATTTGTAAACGCTGACCCCGTCAACCGAAGCTGATTTCCACGGGGGGCGTGTGCAAAAATAGAAAAATGTTACATGGCGATATTAAAATACTTAAGTTTAAAAAGGTAGAATATTAAATTATTTACATGATAAGAAGGTTATTAGAATATTTACAGTTACATCAATTTACTCTATGTCAATTTTGTGAGCAGCGATTTTATTTCTAAAGGATCAAAGAGTTTTGTTTTCCCTAATTTCCTTTGGAATAGAATTCCAAAGGTGTGCTCCGTCATACATGAAACTATTTTTCATGTTGTTAGTACGCGGTTTTGGTAAACTAAGATCGCTTGAAATGTCACGAAGGTTGTAGTTTGTTTGCTCACATTTGTATGAAAAAAGATTGGTGAGAGATTTAGGACCCATTTTATTTAATACTTTGTGCATCATTTTTGCCTTAGCTTCCTTCCTTTCAGTTTTGAGTGGCTCCCAGCCCAATGCACGTAGAGCAATGGAATGATTTACGTCATTACTCATGTTCAAGATAATTCTAGCAGCTCTATTTTGAAGTTTTTGGAGTCGTTTTGACCCCAAACACATCCCATACTTCACAACAGTAATCAAAGTATGGGCGAACAATAGCATTATATATCGAAATGAGTGTATCTTTGTCAACGAAAGGTTTGACTCGACGAATAGCAGAGATTCCTGCAGTTATTTTTTTGCAAATATTTTCGGAATTACTTTTCCAACACAAATGCTGGTCAACTATTACTCGAAGAGTTTTGCATTCGCTAACTTGTTTAATTTGCTTATTTTCAATGAACACATTTAAACGTGAATCAGAATTTTTTTAATCATTGCTTTTGAACCAATTAACATAAATTCTGTCTTAGCTACATTTAGACTAAGTTTATTGGCAATTAACCATTTTCTGAGGTTTTCCAAATCAGAATTTACTGCAGTTTCAAGGTCAATTTTAGAATCTCCCGATGCTGTCAGATTTGTGTCGTCAGCAAACAATCGAGGTTTTGTTTTGTTTAGACACTGAGGTAAATCATGTATATATAGCAGAAAGAATAGAGCCTTGTGGTACGCCACATTTAATCAATCGCTCTGTAGAAAAGGAATTCTTAATTTGCCACTTCTGGTTTCTGTTTGTGAGATAAGATTTGAGCAAAGTTAGAGCTTCTCCTTTTATTCCATAAAGTTCTAACTTCCTCAATAGAATTTGATGATCAACAGTATCAAATGCTTTTTTTAGATGAATTAAAACTACTTGGTTAAGTTAAACATTTTTCTGTCTAGATTCATATACCAATAATTGGTACAGTCCAGTAATGCAGTTGCTGTAGAATGAGATTATCGAAAACCGAATTGAGAATCGCTAAGGAGTTCAAATTTTGTTAAATAGCTATACAGTTGATCATACATAATTCGCTCCATAATTTTGCTAATCGCAGGTACAACTGATATTGGTCTATAGTTTCCTGGAATATTCCGTTGGCCATTTTTATACAAAGGTATTACTCTTGCCATTTTCCATTCATTAGGAAAGGAGGATAGAGTTATAGCCTGATTGAAAATAAACGTCAATGAGCCTGAAATATCTGGTGCAGCTATCTTAATAATTTTACAAGAAATGTTGTCAATGCCAGTGGCTTTATTGATGAAAGCCCATGCAAGAGACGACAGACATGACTGACAGTAACAGGCTGGAATGCTGCAAATTCTGATTCAGCAGTTTTAGTATATGTTTCAAAATTATAATTTGAAGTATCAATTTTGCTAGCTAAATAAGGTCCAATATTTGAAAAGTAATCATTAAAGCCCTTTGCAATATCTTTGGGAGTTATCTAATCTTTGGGAGTTATCTTATCTTTGGGAGTTATCATTAAAGCCCTCTGCAATATCTTTGAAACGCTCAGAGAATCATTCATGCTTTGTGTTCTTGCTTATAATATTATTTGGGAGTTATCTTATCTTTGGGAGTTATCTTATCTTTGGGAGTTATCATTAAAGCCCTCTGCAATATCTTTGAAACGCTCAGAGAATCATTCATGCTTTGTGTTCTTGCTTATAATATTATTTGGGAGTTATCTTATCTTTGGGAGTTATCTTATCTTTGGGAGTTATCATTAAAGCCCTCTGCAATATCTTTGAAACGCTCAGAGAATCATTCATGCTTTGTGTTCTTGCTTATAATATTATTTGGGAGTTATCTTATCTTTGGGAGTTATCTTATCTTTGGGAGTTATCATTAAAGCCCTCTGCAATATCTTTGAAACGCTCAGAGAATCATTCATGCTTTGTGTTCTTGCTTATAATATTATTTGGGAGTTATCTTATCTTTGGGAGTTATCTTATCTTTGGGAGTTATCATTAAAGCCCTCTGCAATATCTTTGAAACGCTCAGAGAATCATTCATGCTTTGTGTTCTTGCTTATAATATTATTTGGGAGTTATCTTATCTTTGGGAGTTATCTTATCTTTGGGAGTTATCATTAAAGCCCTCTGCAATATCTTTGAAACGCTCAGAGAATCATTCATGCTTTGTGTTCTTGCTTATAATATTATTATGTCGCCAGTAAAAACCGGGCTTTACACATTGCATTTTAAATATTCAGTTGAGCATTGGACATCACTTATGATGCTTTTTACTGAACAGAAATTATTCCACAAATTAAAGTTGCTTTTTTTAGCTAGCCTGCTCAGCAGCCCCCATTCCGGCTGAGAGGAGGCGGCTACTTTTTAGCGAAAACCGCAAATTTAGGGCATTTTTCGACTCATTACGACTTTTACGCAAGACTTTTTACGCGCGAAACACGACTTTTCACCCAGTTCCGCCAAAACTCAAACATAACAGGCGGCATGCATTCAATGCCGGTAATTGATGTTCGACACGGATACATTAGCCTCATCATTATCATTATCCAACCCTCTCAAACAGATTTTTTTGGGGGGTTATGTTCTTTTTTTATTCGCTGTTTGTATATTAAGCACTTATTAATTGCCACGACTTTTTACAAAGACTAATTAGTTTTTCACGCAGAAAGACGTCTTGCAGTTTTGTTACCTTTCCATCGGTAAACAAATCTATCAGTTATATGGAACGTACACGAATTTCAGGTACTATCAAAGCGATACATCCGTTTATGTAAAGGCTATAATAACTGAATTTTTTAATTACATGTGGTTTGTATATAATTTGAATTTGCAATTCTGTGGCAGCTGCTGCAAGGAGCCCAAGGAGTTTTTCTGTCCTTTAATAAAGATAAAAAGGTCGTATGGCGAAATAACATATGATGATACATGCATGTGTTGGCAAAATATAAATACTTCCTATCTTACACGTTCACCATTATCCATGACAACATATCAGTATATCAGTAGTGTTATATAACAGTCACTTCGTTTCCTATGCCAATTAAACTTATATGCAAATTATGATCGTAATCAATATAACATCTCATCTTACATCGCGTCAAAATTGGTAAAAACTAGTCCTTGGTCATTGCCAACGCCGTCGCTACTATTAAACTGCTCAGTTTCGTCAGTGCTGCTGTTACCAAGAAGAAATGAATTAAAAATGTTTCAATACAAACTTTCCAGTTTTGACTGCCAGTGTAGTTTTCCTCACAGTTCTTCCACAGTCGGAAGCTTGTGTTCAAATCCAACATTTTTAAATCTTTTCAACGTATTTTTAACGTAAGCCAAATTCACTACGCACGACAAATATGTTTCATAATTACATATTAATACTGCATGGAAACGCCGAAAATATTTAATCCTAGTCGGACAGAATGTCGCGGCGGCCTGATGTTTCATGCTGTTGTGTTTATAAATTTAAACTGATAACCTTTGCCCAACATACTCTGTAGCTGTACTCACATGGTAATTCTTATTCTCTACATTTACGCTAAAAATACAAGTAGAAAAATAAAAACTTAACAAGAACGCAAAAATGAATGAAAACAAGAATGATTACATATTTCAATATGCTAGCACTGTAGCACTGAGTCACTATTCACTAACTGCTCCGGCGATATGCCGCACGAATCAATCACTTGCCCATTTGAATCCTGCTTTCGCGTCTATGACTATAACATCTTTAAAATATTTCAAAGTATTTTAAGCCAAATTAAGTCAGTACGCGTGAACGAAAGTGCAAACGAAAATCTTTAATACTAGTCGGATAGAATTGCGTGGCTTTTGACATATATTACAGTAAAATGTAGTAAACGGCCAAGCAACAGAACGTTTTATACTAATAACCTTTGCCCAAACCTCGAATATATGTCTGTAGCAATAATAGTCACATGGTAGTTTTAATTATCTAGATTTACACACTTTAACGAGAACGCAAAAAATAAATAGTGAAAACAAGTATGATTGCATATTTCAATATGCTAGCAGCCACGTACTATTCGCTAACTGCTGTAGCAATGTTATGCCCGCACGCGAAATCACTTGCCCATTTGATCCATCTGACAAATATTTTTCCAACGGAAAACACGGTGTCCAATGGATCCAATGGATCCATTGGACACTTTCGTTTGGCTATCTCAATGCCCTTGTATCTACATGACGTCCATGTGCTTCTCATTACGTCATTCAAATACATGGTAATTGACCAACTGAAAAAGCAAACGTCCGATGGAAATTCCACTTGTCCATTGGATCCAATGGACAAACAAAATTCCAATGGACATTTCCAGGTCCGTTGGATCCATTGGATCCAATGGACACTTTCGTTTGGCTATCTCAATGACCTTGTATCTACATGACGTCCATCTGCTTCTCATTACGTCATTCAAATACATGGTAATTGACCAACTGAAAACGCAAACGTCCGATGGAAATTCCACTTGTCCATTGGTACCAATGGACAAACAAAATTCCAATGGACATTTCCAGTTTTATTGGATCCATTGGATCCAATGGACACTTTCGTTTGGCTATCTCAATGGCCTTGTATCTACATGACGTCCATGTGCTTGTCATTACGTCATTCAAATACATGGTAATTGACCAGTTGAAAAAGCAAACGTCCGATGGAAATTCCACTTGTCCATTGGATCCAATGGACAAACAAAATTCCAATGAACATTTCCAGGTCCATTGGATCCATTGGATCCAATGGACAATTTCGTTTGGCTATCTCAATGGCCTTGTATCTACATGAGGTCCATGCGCTTCTCATTACGTCATTCAAATACATGGTAATTGACCAACTGAAAACGCAAACGTCCGATGGAAATTCCACTTGTCCATTGGATCCAATGGAGAAACAAAATTCCATTGGACATTTCCAGGTCCATTGGATCCACTGGATCCAATGGACACTTTCGTTTGGCTATCTCAATGGCCTTGTATATACATGACGTCCATATGCTTCTCATTACGTCATTCAAATATATGGTAATTGACCAACTGAAAACGCAAACGTCCGATGGAAATTCCACTTGTCCATTGGTTCCAATGGACAAACAAAATTCCAATGGACATTTCCAGGTCCATTGGATCCATAGTATCCAATGGCACTTTCGTTTGGCTATCTCAATGGCCTTGTATCTACATGAGGTCCATGTGCTTCTCATTACGTCATTCAAATACATGGTAATTGACCAACTGAAAACGCAATCGTCCGATGGAAATTCCACTTGTCCATTGGATCCAATGGACAAAGAAAATTCCAATGGACATTTTCATGTCCATTGGATCCATTGGATCCAATGGAACTTTCGTTTGGCTATCTCAATGGCCTTGTGTCTACATGACGTCCATGTGCTTCTCATTACGTCATCCAAATACATGGTAATTGACCAGTTGAAAAAGCAAACGTCCGATGGAAATTCCACTAGTCCATTGGATCCAATGGACAAACAAATTTCCAATGGACATTTCCAGGTCCATGGGATCCATAGGATCCAACGGACACTTTCGTTTGGCTATCTCAATGGCCTTGTATCTACATGAGGTCCATGTGCTTCTCATTACGTCATTCAAATACATGGTAATTGACCAACTGAAAACGGAAACGTCCGATGGAAATTCCACTTGTCCATTGGTTCCAATGGACAAACAAAATTCCAATGGACATTTCCATGTCCATTGAATCCATTGGATCCAATGGACACTTTCGTTTGGCTATCGCAATGGCCTTGTATATACATGACGTCCATGCCCTTGTCATTACGTCATTCAAATACATGGTAATTGACCAGTTGAAAAAGCAAACGTCCGATGGAAATTCCACTTGTCCATTGGTTCCAATGGACAAACAAAATTCCAATGGAGATTTCCAGGTGCATTGAATCCATTGGATCCAATGGACACTCTCGTTTGGCTATCGCAATGGCTTTGTATCTACATGACGTCCATGCGCTTGTCATTACGTCATTCAAATACATGGTAATTGACCAGTTGAAAAAGCAAACGTCGGATGGAAATTCCACTTGTCCATTGGATCCAATGGACAAACAAAATTCCAATGGACATTTCCAGGTCCATTGGATCCATTGGATCCAATGGACAATTTCGTTTGGCTATCTCAATGGCCTTGTATCTACATGAGGTCCATGTGCTTCTCATTACGTCATTCAAATACATGGTAATTGACCAACTGAAAACGCAAACGTCCGATGGAAATTCCACTTGTCCATTGGATCCAATGGACAAACAAAATACCAATGGACATTTCCAGGTCCGTTTGATCCATTGGATCCAATGGACACTTTCGTTTGGCTATCTCAATGACCTTGTATCTACATGACGTCCATATGCTTCTCATTACGTCATTCAAATACATGGTAATTGACCAACTGAAAACGCAAACGTCCGATGGAAATTCCACTTGTCCATTGGTTCCAATGGACAAACAAAATTCCAATGGACATTTCCAGGTCCATTGGATCTATTGGATCCAATGGACACTTTCGTTTGGCTATCTCAATGGCCTTGTATCTACATGAGGTCCATGTGCTTCTCATTACGTCATTCAAATACATGGTAATTGACCAACTGAAAACGCAAACGTCCGATGGAAATTCCACTTGTCCATTGGATTCAATGGACAAACAAAATTCCATTGGACATTTCCAGGTCCATTGGATCCACTGGATCCAATGGAAACTTTCGTTTGGCTATCTCAATGGCCTTGTATCTACATGACGTCCATGTGCTTCTCATTACGTCATTCAAATACATGGTAATTGACCAAGTGAAAACGGAAACGTCCGATGGAAATTCCACGTCTCCATTGAATCCAATGGACACGCGAAAGACGAATGGACAATTAGAGATCCATTTGACAAATGGAATGTCCAATGGCCTTTTGATTTTTCCATCGGACATCTTGCATGGGTATTGGACATTAATCATATAATAGCCTATGTCGTTGCTTCGTTGCTAAGAAACGACGCAACATATCAATATAATAAGACCATAGATATGCATATTGTTTGTAAAATGTGCGAATTCTAAAGACTTTATCATGTTGTCAGTTAATCACAATTTCGATTTGAAGCAATGTCGACATGTGTAATCATGTAGGTCACTATAGAGTCTAGAGATTGCCTAACGTACTATCGCATCGTGCGAAAATATGTTTGCATATACAAAGTTTTCATTGTCGTGCAGACATATGTCCAACTATTTGCAGAGAAAATGTTTGAATCTTAAAACTTCTCCAGACACTAAGAGTCACAAGAGAATATATTAATTAGTCGTTCAGCCTTCAAGGTCAAATCCCAAAAACAGACTGGCCATAAAAAATTTCTAGCGATCCATTTTCTTCTATAGATTTTAAATCAAAATCGTTTTACTCTGGCTCGCCGTGTTTATATGCATGCTTCAATGCTGAAATATCGTTGATATGTACATGTCCTCGCTATAAATCTCGTAATGTCGTGATCGATTCATGAACGAATTTAAACTCTTCACAACTATGTTTGCCTTTGGCTTTGGGAATCGAAATATTTACGAAACATACTGTATTGAGTAGCGCAATGACAATGTCTATAGTATATAGACATCTGTGGCAATTTTGCCCTTTGGGAATTGTGTTTGCTTTCATGCAAATTCATATACAGTGCAGCATATGATATGGCACGTGAGACAGTCGAGTCGTCAAATTCCATTGAAAATGAACTAAATTTTCGTATCGGCTTCCAAAGTTATATCAGTTAACATTCTGCGGATATCCTGAGTTTTAGTTTACTAGGTAAGGAATGGCATGCGTCAAGCGTGCCAGTTTTTCAGGGAATGAGCAAGACGTCTCGAGTTATAACATCTCATTCATGCAAATTTCGCTTTTACGTTCCGTACGTTAGCAATCGTATGTAAATCACCGACTCACTGCCAACTTTCGTGCGAATATATTATGCCAAACGTTTATCCAATAAGGGCTTGCTATTATACGGTTGAGAACGGATTGAGTGCTATCAGTCAATAGAGAACTGTAGCTTTGACGATTGTTTCGTTCAGTAATGAGGCTTTACGTTCGTTTACGTGCTTCGGTGCATGTTAACTAATTAGACGTCTGCGATACTGATTCTGCGATGGCAAACCGATGTTTTTTAACGAGTAGTTGAACCGAATTTTTTTGCATTTTAAGATTGATATATCAACTCCAAGTAGAGTACACAACCGAAATTCAGGTGGGAAAATAACAAATGTTTTGTTATATTGCAGTAGATTGAAGAATGCTCAACACAAAAATGTGTAGAGCAAATTAGGTCAGCGAACCATTAGTGAGTACACAGGCGGCCCAATCTCGCGAGAGTCAGTGTAGACTTTATAAAAATGAAATTGACTTGCCTATTTGATAGTGTGTGTGTTCTCCTTTTATTCCTTCTTTGTTGGAATAATATTTTCCGAGACTTTGTACTCGATGTTGCTAGTATACATGATACATCCCTGGTAGAATCCGACATATTTATAACCTATTTTATACCTTTTTTTTCTCTATTTAGCCCTATTTTTTCCGTATTTTTTCAAAAATATGACTATTATATTACTATTTATCAAATTTCATAAAATAGTATATGACTATTTACACCCTATTTAAAATATAGTTTATTTATATTTTTCAAAAAAATAGCTTTGAAATAGAATAGTCAGATATTCAAATCCTATTTGAAAGAGTAATTGACGGAATCTTACTATAAAATAGCTTTTAAATAGCTATTTAATTCCTATTGATGACAGACGAGTCAGTTAAAATAGTTTTAAATAGCTATTTTTAAACTATTTTTGCTTATCTTCTTTAGAGCCATTCTTAACATAGTTATTAAATAGAAAAATAAATAGATCTTAAATAGTTATTTAATTCCTATTCATAGAAAGTTGTGGCGAACTTTGTTCAAAACAGCTATAAAATAGCTATTTTTAAACTATGTTTGCTTTTATTTTTGGAGATATTATTGAGTATTGTTAAAATAGTTATTAAATAGGAAAATAAATAGATCTTAAATAGCTATTTAATTAATAGCTATTATGTTTGCTTTTATTTTTTGAATTTTTAGAGCCACTCTTAGAATAGTTATTAAATAGCTAAATAAATAGATCTTAAATAGCTATTTAATTCCTATTCATAGAAAGTTG